TTACAGGTATTCTCCACATTTCTGAATGTGCTTTAAAAGTTTTTACTTCACTTAACCTGTGAAGTGTCATACTCATAGTTGTAGTATAATGAAACTTTTGTATATAATACTTCCAAGTCTGAATAAAATAATATATTCTGTTCACTGAATGCTTAACTTTTTAATCTTTTTAGGGGACAACCATCAAACCTTTAGTTAAGTTTCTTCAAGTGAAGTTACAAGCCAGTGAGTCACCAGATATGTATAAACAGCTCAATGATAAGGTAATAATTAAACAATATATAAGAGTGAATGGTCTGAACCCTGTTGTAAGCGATGTACAGTGTAGTGTGGTATGATTGTCTGGGTGTACAATAGTCTTCTTCAGGAAGACTGTTATAGTTACCTGAAGTTTCGACATCCAGCGTGAAAGTCTCTAAAGATGACTTCCATGTACATGTAGAAAGTCAGGTAACTATGTACAGTATAACAGTCTTCCTCAAGACTTGTCACACCCTGACAATCATACCACATCTACATCGTAATAATTAAAATACAGTGTAGCTACTGTCTTACAATGCTATGTTTACATGTTAGTATATTCTTCCTTACAAAATGATGTACATCTACAACAGACAATAAACATTATTAGATTTATTTGTTTTTAATAGTTGTTAGACCACCTTGTAGCAGGAATGGAGGAAATTACAGGTCATCATGGCCATAGTTACTACTGGGTGAGTTTAAAATAAAGTTTTTTTTTATCAAATGAGGATGGATTCTCTATTGCCTTTCAAGGCTAAGGATTATTTCTACTTTTAACTTACTTTTTCAATCGCAGTTTCGTCTTTAGCTTAACTTACTTTTTCAATCACAATTTCATCTGTAGCCCTGTCTCCCTAGTACCTGCTTTGTCATGTAGCTCAACCAACCACCTCTTCATGTATATGCATATTATCCATTTTTTAAGATCTTTCACTTCATGTAATTTATTTATCAACAGCAATTAGCTGAGCACTTTCATAATCACTATCTGMGACGATGGCTGGTGAGAGAAAATGAAGACATWGTGAATGATGAGGACATTTTGCTGGCTTATCGTAAACTTGAGTATAAGTGAGTACACAATATATTTTACTTCAGACACCTCTCTACATTGCACACCTATTACAGTTGCAAGTTTGTTTCTGTAAGATGGAGGTTTCTGGTTGTTCTAGTGGACCAATAATTCTTATATCATACTCAGCCTCAACCAATAATCTTTCATATCATACTCAGCATCAACCAATAATCTTT